AAGGGTTAATACAGAGTTGTATGCACTGGATGGTGATGGCTTGATACCTTACTGTTGCCACCTAACACAGCGTATTATCGGTAGTCCTGCTCAGGAAAGAGGTTTCTCTTTTTATGAGTGGACTATTTTCAGCAAATGATCAGTCTAAGTCAAAAAACAGAATTGATTCAAAGTCCATGAGCTTGCAGCTAAGAAGAAATCAACGGCTTACCTCCTATGTTAACACCCTGCTTGTTTCCCCCCAAGAAAATTGTTTCTGTTTAGTTGAAAATATTTTGGATACTTACTGCAGTAGCATTTAGAGGAAATCTTTATGAAAAAAAAAAAAAAACTTTTTTCTCTCAATGATCCTACAGTTTTGTTAAAAAAAAATGGTTTGCAACACTCCGTGGATTTTAGAAAATATCAGATTTGAGAAACATTAAATTTATTTTAGAATGGTTGATAAAGTAGATAATTAAGAAAATCAATATTCTGGTAAATGAAATTTTAATGAGGTAAATGGAGAATTCTTGTTGTATATGTAGTAATTAGATGATGCAGGCGATCTTGTGAAAGAGGTTTGTAAAGAAATGTCTTCATACCTCTTAATGCAAATAAAAGTAGAATGGCTTGTAACTTATTTATTTCATTTTTACCTCTATTGATGCATTGATAGCCAATAAAATATGTAGTAATTAGATGATGCAGGCGATCTTGTGAAAGAGGTTGGTAAAGAAATGTCTTCATACCTCTTAATGCAAATAAAAGTAGAATGGCTTGTAACTTATTTATTTCGTTTTTACCTCTATTGATGCATTGATAACCAATAAAATATAGGCAATCTGTTCTGAAGAAACATCCTATTGATGCTAAGAAAACAAATTAAAAAAATCTCCATGCCTCTTCTCTTTGAAAATTCTGTCTTTAAATTTGTTGACTGTTTTGTAAAAAGATAGGTACCACTGTAAATGGATGAAAAAGTTTGTATTTTATCCTTTTTGGCCAATAAACATATAAAGCAGTCCTAGAAGAGTTAAAACCATACAGGGAGGTGATACCGAAATGAGATCAAAATTTACTCATTAGTGAAATCCAACATAGATTT